TTGTTAGGAACTACTAAAGCTGGGGACTTTAAGCTGAAGCCAATGCTCATTTATCATGCCAAAAATTCTAGGGCTCTTAAGAATTATGCTAAATCTAGTCTGCCTGTATTTTATAATGGAACAATGCCTGGATGATGGCACATTTGTTCACAGTATGGTTTACTGAACATTTTAAGTCCACAGTTGAGACCTACTGTTCAGAAAAAAACAAGACTCCTTTCAAAATATTATTGCTCATCAATAGTGCACCTGCTTACCCAAAACCTCTGATGAAGATGCACAAGCAGATTATGTGATTTTCATTCTTGCTAATACATCCATTCTGCAGCCTATGGATTAGGAGTAATTTTATCTTTCAAGTCTTATTATTTAAGAAATACATTTTATAAGGCTATAGCTGCCATAGATAGTGATTCCTTTGACAGATCTGGGAAAAGTAAAATAAAAACCTTCTAGATGATGGGTACAGTGGCTCACACCTGTAATCTCAGCATTTTAGGAGGCCAAGGTAGGTGGATCACCTGAGGTCAGGAGTTCATGACCAGCCTGGCCACCATGGTGAAACCCCGTCCCTACTAAAAATACAAAAATTAGCCAGATATGGTGGTGGGTTCCTATAATCCCAGCTACTGGGGAGGCTGAGGCAGGAGAATCACTAAAACCCAGGAGACGGAGGTTGCAATGAGCTGAGATTTCTGTATTGCACTCCAGCCTGGGTGACAGAGCAAGACTCCATCTCAAAAAAAAAAAGATTCTGGAAAGGATTCACCATTTTGGATGCCATTGAGAACATTCATTATTCATGGAAAGAGGTCAAGATATCAACATTAACAGTAGTTTGGAAGAAGCTGATTCTAACCCTCATGGATGACTTTGAGGGGTTCAAGATTTCAATGGAGGAAGTAACTGCAGATGTGGTGGAAATAGCAAGAGAAATAGAATTTAAAGTGGAGCCTGAAGTGGAAACTGAAATGCTACAATTTCATGATAAAACTTAAATAGACAAGGAGTTGATTCTTATGGATGAGCAAGGAAAGTGGTTTCTTGAGATGGAATCTACTCCAAGTAAAGATGCCTTGAACATTGTTGAATTGACAACAAACATTTTAGAACATTATATAAACTTAGTTGACAAAGCAGTGGCAGGGTTTGAAAGCATTTACCCTAATTTTGAAAGAAGTTCTACTAGGCTATCAAATAGCATCACATGCTACCGAGATATATTTTGTGAAAGAAAGAGTCTATCTATGTAAAAAACTGCATTGTTGTCTTATTTTAAGAAATTGTCAGAGTCAGCCCAACCTTCAGCAACCGCCACCCTGATCAGTCAGCAGCCATCAACATCGAAGCAAGACCTCCATCAGCAAAGAGCAGGGCTCACTGCAGACTCACATGATCATTAGCATTTTTTTGCATTAAAATATTTCTAAATGAATGTACGGACATTGTCTTTTAAGACATAATGCCATCACACACTTAATAGGCTATAGTATGGTATAAAACATAACTTTTCTATGTACTGAGAAACTCCAAAATTTGTGTGCTTCACTTTAGGTTCTTTATCATGGTGGTCTGGAACCAAACTCACAATATCTCTGAAGGATGCCTGTACTTATCTGAAACAAGTTTTACAAAACAACGTTAAAATGCTTACCATGTACAATGTGTTCCAATATATCCTAGTCTAGGCTAGTCGATTTCATTTTTTAATGCTGATCACAACCCATTAAATGATGCTACCAACCACAAATGGGTCATGACAATGAATTTAAAAACACAAATGTATTCTAACCCCTTGGTTCCATAGCTGAGAAAGCTAAGACTCAGAGAGGTTAAATCCAAGGTCAAAAGGCTACTTCCTGGCAGAATCAGGACTAGTTTAGGCCCAGGTAAATGATGACTGTTGTTATCAGTCTAATAATTGGGACAATCCTCAACGAACGCCTCCTCTATAAATCCTGGTCAGAATTCACTTCTCTCCATAACCCCTGCTGCTGACGTTGTTCAGGCTACTATTGTTTCTGTCTTAGGTTTTTTTTAACACCACCAGGCCTGCTGCCCTGATATCCCTGTGAACCTGGAGGCATGGTCCCAGGCTAAATGGTCCCATGGCATTTTCCGTATCACCAAACTGACCACTCTGTTCCTCTCCTCTACTGCTTCCTTGCCGTGAACCACAGCATGCCCCAAGGTGAGCCAAGGAACTACCAGCCTTGAGGAAGTGATGAGCTTGATAACTCAGCCAGAAGAAACTTGAAGGGCAAAGCTTAACTCCACCTGAGTCCTGATATACAAATTCCAAGAAGCACTAAAGATGGCCAAGTCAATTTGGAAGACACTGAAGAAGTGGGCCATTCAGCCCTATCTAGGCAGAATAAATCCTTCAGGGGTCTAGGAAAGAGATCACATTTAAAAACCAAAGGGCTTCCTCTCTCACTTGGCCACCATCTTGCAGATTAAAAGATGAGTGAGGCCACGCACAGTGGCTCACACCTGTAATCCTAGCACTGTGGGAGGCTGAGGTGGGTGGATCACCTGATGTTAGGAGTTCAAGACCAGCCTGGCCAACATGATGAAACCCTGCCTCTACTAAAAAAAATACAAAAAATTAGCCAGGCATAGTGGCATATGCCTGCAATCCCAGTTACTCAGGAGGCTGAGACAGAGGATCGCTTGAACCGGGGAGGTGGAGGTTACAGCAAGCCGAGGTTGCGCCATTGTACTCCAGCCCGGGGCAACAAGAGTGATACTCTGTCTTGAAAAACAAAACAAACAAACAAAAAAAGATGATGTGTCTGGAGAGTTGGCTTTCTGATCAAGTTTCGCCTTACTAGGTGGTGCGTACTGGGAAGGGTACAGAGTGTGGACACACCGTAGCAAGCAGACCCCAAATGCCTCTTCCACCTTCCACCTTAGCAACCTGCACTCCCAGCCTTCCTGTAACTCTCCCCCATGTCTTCACCTTGAGGTTTCAGCAAGCCCCAATCTCTGTGGCTCTCACAAAACCATGCAAATCAAACCCAACTCCAATTAGAAAAGCATCTATCCTCTGCTTCACCCTCAGAGGTCTCAAACATGCATTCTATCTCTCCAAGCTAGGTTTCACACAGCAGCTTAACTATGAGTGTTGTAAAATCACGTGTTCTATGTCAATCCCTTTACGGCACTCCCAATGCTTCAAAAAAGAGAATCACACTCTACACCACAGCTTCAGACAGGGCTTAGTAAACACAGTTCATGGGCCAAATTGGGCCAGATGCCTGTTTTTATAAATAAAGTTTTATTGGAACACTGTCATGCCCATTTGTTTACCTATTATCTGTGCTGTTTTTATGCTACTTGATAGAGCTGAGTTCAATTGCAACAGAGACCGAATAGTCTGCAAAGCCTGAAAGTATTTACTATCTGCCCTTGTACAGAAAAAGTGTGCCAACCCCTGGCTTACAGAATCCTGCCTTTTTTTTTTTTTTAATGGTGATAAAATACACAAAACCTAAAATTTACCATCTTAACCATTTGTAAGTGTACGGTATTAAGTTCAGCGGTAGTAAGTACCCCGGCATTGTTGTACAATCAACACCACCATCCATCTCCAGAATGTTCCATCATCCCAAACTAAAAGTCTATACATGATAAATAATAACTCCCCATTCTCCCTCCCCTCAGCCCTGGCATCCACTGTTCTACTTTCTGCCTCTATGAATCTGTCTACTCTAGGTATCTCATATCAGTGGAATTATACAGTATTTATTTTCATGTGTCTGACATATTTTACTTAGCATGCTGTCTTCAAGGTTCATTCATGTTGTAGCATAGATCAGAAGTTCCTCCCAGGTTAGGCGTGGTGGCTCATGTCTGTAATCCCAGCACTTTGGGAGGCCAAGGCGGGCAGGTCACTTGAGGTCAGGAGTTCGAGACCAGCCTGGCCAACATGGTGAAACCCCATCTCTACTAAAAGCACAAAAAATTAGCCGGGCGTGGTGGTACAGGCCTGTAGTCCCAGCTACTCAGGAGGTGGGGCAGGATAATGGCTTGAATCTGGGAAGCAGAGGTTGCAGTGAGCTGAGATCACACCACTGCACTCCAGCCTCGGTGACAGAGCAAGACTCCATCTCAACAAAAAGAGAAGTGCCTTCCTTTTTAAAGCTGAATAATATTGCATGGTATGGATAGACCACATTGTGTTTATTCATTTATCTACTGATAGACACAGGTTGTTTCTACTTTTTGGCTACTGTGAATAACACAACAACCTGCCTAACCCTACAACACACACCTGCTCCCTTCCCCACAGGGATCCTCTGTCGATTTCCCCAGTGTGTCCTGCTTCCTTCCACCTTTGACTGAGACGAGCCGTGGATATAAAATACACATTCAGTTTCAAAGACTTTGTATTTTTTTAAATGCAAACTATCTCAGTAATGACGTTTTACATTGATTCTATGTTAAAATATCATTTTCATATATTGGGTTAAATGGTGTATTATGACAATATCACTTGTTCCTTTTCATTCGTTTTAATATGACTACTAGAAAGTTGAAGGTTAATATATGCCTCGTATCCTATTTCTAGGACCAGCACTAGGCTGGACTCTGCAGGGGTTGGCAAACGTTTTCAGTAAAAAGCCAGATGGTAAATATTTTCAGCCCTGTGGGCCACTCTCATTCTGCCATTGTCACACAAAAGAAGCCATTGGCAACACATAAAGGAATGATCATGGGTGTGTTCCAATACATTTTATTTACAAAATCAGGCTGGGTATCAGATTTAGCCCCTAGGCCATAGAGTATTAATCATATTTTTTAAATGGCCAGTTCTGGGAAATTCTGTTCTATTCATTTTCTCAGAACCCTCTGTAAAAAGCCATCTTTCATTCAACCAGAGCCTGGAACACAAGTCTGTACCCGGCTTCCCTAACCTGGTCAGCTCCTGGGGCCACAGCACAGCCCCTCGCAGGCCAGGGCTGGACCGCCCCAGGGCACCCACCGAGTGCACTCACTTGGGCGTATGGGCCTCGTCCACGCGGTGCGCCAGCTGGAACTCATGGGATTTGCTCCGATGCAGTGCGGTGAACCCCGGGATCAAGTGTATCAGCTTTCGGGAGGAGGGCGGTGGGGTCCCCGGGGGCTTCAGCTTGTTCTTCTTCCTCATGGGCGGCGTGCCTGGCGGGGTCACGGTGGTGACGATGTTGGGGGTGCGTGGCGGGGTGCGGACCGCATGCCGCTGCCGGGGCGATGGGGGCAGGGAACGGTGGCCCGACTCCAGTGGCGGGGGCGGGCACAAGCCCGGGTAGGCGTCCACAGTAAGCCTCTCCACGTGGGTGTACACAGGGGCCCCGGGAGTGGGGCTGGTGTGACAATAGTGCTGGACGCACTTGGACTGGACCCTTGGGCTCTGGGAGAGATGGGTGCGGATCCACGGGGTGGGCTCTGGGGGGCACACAGGATTGTTCTCCTTCCCCGTCTCTGTGGTGGGCCACTGGATGGTCCAGTCTTGTTTGGAAAGGTTGCCTCCTGAGTTGGAACAGAAGAACAGAGACAATGGGTAAGCCATGAGAAAGCCAGGTGGGTTACACCATATACACCATTACATCATATGCACATTACATCACGTGCCCATCACATCATATGCATGTTACACTATATGCCTGTTATATCGTATATATGTTATCTCATATGCAAATTATATCATATGCACATTATGCCGTGTGCCCATCACATCATAGACCTGTTACATTATATACCTGTTACATCGTATGCATGTTACATCATATGCACATTATATGCATATTACATCATGTGCACATTATATCATATGTATATTACATCATATGCATGTCACATTATATGCACATTACATAACATGAATGTTATTTCATATGCCTATTACATCATATAGACATCCTATCATATGCATGTTACATCACACCCACATTACATCATAAGCATATCTGCATAAATCCAACCACCCCCACTTGGCCCCTCCAAAAAGAGAATTCAATCCCTTTATTGACCCTGTTACCCTATTCCCCATTCAACAGCCTTGCCTTCCTCTGCCCCATCGCTGGGAAGACCCCACAGCCCAAATGCTCAGAAAAGCAAAGAAGTTAATTCTTGCCTTTTGAGCTTCCCAAGGTCCCAGTTCCAGAAGTTTCAAAGTGATTTAAAAGACTTTAAAGGATAAGTTTTCCCTTACATGGAAATTTTAATACCTAACCCTCATGTGAGATACACAAATTCCAAGGAAGTCAAGTTCATCCTTAGTCCCTCCCTGACCACTTCCTTGCTCACCTCATACTTCTTCCAGATCTATGTCGCCATGTTCTCATTCATGCATTTGTCCAGTAAACATTCTGTGAGTGCCAACTACGCCCCTTTGCTTGAGAAAGACACAAAGGCAACACAGACGAGACCCTGGTCCCCTGGACTTACATTCTGCCAAAGCAGAGTCATGATAGACAGAAAGCATGCTCACCAAAGGATTTCACATGGTTATTGGTGCTAGGAAGGAAATAAACAGAATGACGTGATACAACTATGGGTGGCTGGGCACATAGGCTCAGGCCTGTAGTTCCACCAATTTGGGAGGCCAAGGCGGGCAGATCACTTGAGGTCAGGAGTTCAAGACCAGCCTGGCTAACATGGTGAAACCCTGTCTCTACTAAAAATACAAAAAATTAGCCAGGCATGGTGGCATGCACCTGTATCCCAGCTCCTGGGGAGGCTGAGGTAGGAGAATTTCTTGAACCCAGAAGGCAGAGATTGCAGTGAGCCAAGATTGCGGCCCTGCACTCCAGCCTGGGCTACAGGCTCTCTCTCTATACACAAACCATGTGCTACACAGCTCAGCCAGAAGGCACCAAGTGCCAATGCATACAAAAACCTGGGCGAATCTCCGGATAATTAGGCTGAGCAAAAATGCCAACCCCAAAAGATTCCATACTGTATGCCTCCATTTATATATATTTTTGAAATGACAACATTTTTCAAACAGAGGATAGATTGATGGTTGCCAGGGGTTAGGGATGGCAGAAAAGGGAGTAGGAGAAAAGAGGATGTGGTGAGAGAAGCGCAATACAAGGGAACCCTGGAGTGCTGGAACTCTCCAGCATCTTGACGGCGGTAAATACATGAACCTACACAGGTGATCAGATCACACAGAAGTAGACCCATTGTGGTGGCTCGTGACTGTAATCCCAGCACTTTGGGATCAAATAATACCAAATGTACAAGGCAGTAAGATGATCCCAAGAGTTTAAGACCAGCCTGGGTGACACAGTAAGACCTTCTCCGTACAGGAAGTAAAAAAATCAGCCAGGCACGGTGGTGCACTCTGTAGTGTAAGCTACTTGGGAGGCTGAGGCGGGAGGATCACTTAAACCTCAGGAGGTCAAGGCCGCAGTTAGTCATGTTCATGCCACTGCACTCCAGCCTGGATGATAGAGTGAGACCCCGCCTCAAAAAGAAAAATACATAGAACTAAATGTACCCACAGACACACACACACACACACACACACACACACACACACACGAGTGAAAACAAAGCTGGGGAAATCTGAACAAGATTGGTGGATTGTATCAACATCAATATTCTGTGATGCTGTATTTGGTGATACTGTATAATGGTTTTCAAAGTGTTACCGTTGGGAAGAACTGGGCAAAGTGTAGAAGGGATGTCTGTATTATTTCTTACACCTGCATGTGAATCTACAATTATTTCAATCAAAAATTTCCATTTTAGAAATTAAAAATAAAATACAAGAATACGGAGGGCCTACGTTAGTAGAGTGATCAGGGAAAGCCTCCTAAGGAAGTGACATTCATGCTGGCCTGTGAAGGACAGGAAGGGCATTGTCACACCAAGGACAGAGCACACCCAGCTGGGAAATGATACAGGCTAAGGCCTAGAAGTAGGAAGGGCTATTTTTTTTTTAATTCTTCTAATAGCTTATTAGAAAGAATAGACACTTTTTTAAATCCCCACTGTTATGAATTCAAATTGAGGTTTTCAGCCCTGGTATAAACTGAATCAAAAAAAAAAAAAAAAAAAAAAAAACAGAGAGAGAAGGAAATTTAAAAATCCAATGGTAGACCAGGCAAGGTGGCTCTCACACCTGTAATCCCAGCACTTTGGGAGTCTGAGGCAGGTGGATCACCTGAGGTCAGGAGTTCACGACCAGCCCGACCAGCATGGTGAAACCCCACTGCTACTAAAAATACAAAAAAATCAGCCAGGTGTGGTGGCATGTGCCTGTAATCCCAGCTACTTGGGAGGCTGAGGCATGAGAATCACTTGAACCTGGGAGACAGAGGTTGCAGTGAGCTGAGATCATACCATTGCACTCCAGCCTGGGCGACAAGAACAAAACTCTGTCTCAAAAAAAAAAAAATTCAATGGTGTATTAACATTTTTCATTCATTTGCCATATTAACAGTGCAAATACAAATTTGGTCTAAAGATAGACTCTCATGCAACTATGTAAAGCCTTTCTGCATCCTCCATGCTAAGAGCTCTAAATGCATAAAAACCAAACAATACCAAATGTCCAGGCTTCAAAACCATCTAAGTTAGGGAAATCACTTTCCTAGGTCTCTTTCCAGGATGCCTGCGTGAAAGCAGTGTTCCCAAGTTGTGGTGACAATGGGGTGACACTCAAGGAGAGGCTGAAGGGACAAGTGAGAACAGACTGCCAGATCTGTTGGCTGAGGTGCAGACTGGCTTTCATATCAACAGGAAGCCATTCAGAGTTTTGAGGCAGGGGAGACATTGATTGAAGGTTCATTTCTCAGAGATCACTCAGCCTGCTGCAGGGGAAGTAGAAGCCAATTAAGGGATATCTCAGGGAGTTGCAAGAGATGTTGCGGGCTCTGGCTTGGGTGGTGGCAGCAAAGATGGAGAGAACTCAGTCGGATGTCAATGAAGAAAGACCGGCCAGAACCCAGAGGAAGGCAGCCACATGGGCACTTCCATCATGGGCCAAGGAAGAAGATTTGGGGCAGAAAGAAATTCCTGGCTGACTAGCAATAACAATAATAATTACTATAACGACCGTAACAAGAGCTAATTTATAGCGCATTTCACTGCTTCCAAAGTGCTTTCATGAACACTGACTCACTGTCCCGTTTTTAATTAAAACAACTCATTTTGTTATTATACATTCATTACAGAAAAATTAGAAAATTGACATAAGGAAAAAAGGCAATGCTGTCCTACAGCCTAGCCATCATCCCTGTCAACATCTGATTCTAGAGCCTTCCAGATGGTTTAAGGTGGATTTTTTTTTTTTTGAGGAAAAGAAATGCCGTTAAAACCATATTTAATGGTTCGTCTGTCTTCTTCACTTGTTTTATTGGGACTGTTTTACATCTAACTTAATTTTTTTTAACTCTGTGTGCAAAGGGTCATATTAATTTCCATTTTATAGGTAAGGAAACTGATGCAAAGAGATGAAGACGTGCCTGAGGTCACAAGAGAGATGTTAACTGGCAGCCAGATTCAAACCCGAAACTCCAACCACCTCAATAAGCAGGGGATGAGGATGTCTGTGGGAGAGAACTGGGGCCTCCAACTGCCATCATAGATCATTCAAACCAGAATAGATACTGAAATAAAGGCTCATTTTTCAAAAGGATCTCCTTTTCCCTCCTCCCAGGCTTGCCAGCACACTCTAGCAAAGTCACCATCCTTACGGTATCTACTCTCAAATATTGACACATACACGTTAGCCCAGTGAGTAAGAGAGTCAACGCTGGAGTCAGATGACTTGCGCTCCAAATCTGACTCCCTCCCCCTTATGGCTGTGTGACCTTGGGCACTCATCTAACTTCTCTGAGTCTTAGCCTTGTCACCTGTGCAATGGGACAATAATAAAACCTACCTCAGGAACTACGATGAGGATCAAATGCACAAATACAAGTCACGTGCTTAGCACAACTCTCAGCACACAATAGGTGCACCATAAATGCTAGCTATTGGCATTGTAATTCTCAACACTGGGGTAATACATCATTATCTTCTCTTTAAAGAGTGTGTAGCACTTCTGACAGCTTTACCATTCTCACCCTTTCTACAGTGAGGAAGCTGACGTTTAGCTGAAGCTAAATAGCTCTAAGAACTAGGAATAGAACAGAGAATCCAGTTAAGACAAGTTTTTCCATCACCCAATAACACATCAGTAAGCTCTGGATTGATGTATTTGCTCAGGGAATACAAACTCATTGTCAGGTTAGCCTAAGTAAAGCCTGTTGAAGAAAGTAAGTCTATTTCCTAAGCTGTCTTAATCAAATACTGCACCACAAAGCCACAAAGTAGTGCTTTAGGCATTAACGTTACAAGCTGTTGCCCATCCTGAATGAAATGGAAAGGATATGGGATTGGGAACCAGAAGAATCCAACAGAATTCTGGTTACTCCACTGGCCAGCTCCGTGACCTTGGCCAAATCACCTAACCTCCCTGAGCTTCAGTTTGGGGGCTCGTAAAATGGGGATAATTATGGCTTTGTTGGAGGGTACAGTGAAGATTAAGTGTTTATTTCACAAATATTTGAACACGCTTTATGTACCACACACCATTCTGGACACCAGAATAGAACAACAAATAAAACACACCCAAAGAAACCCTGTTTTTGCAGAGCTCACATTCTTAGTACGGAAACAGATGAAAAAAGTAGATGAACAAATTTATCATATATGTCATGACAGTAAGTGCTCTAGAAAGAAAAAAAGCAGGACACAGAGACAAAAAAAGTGCTTGGGGCTATTTTAATCAGAAAAGGACGAGGAGGTGACAGTGGACATGTGAGCAGATATCAGAGTGAAGCAAGGACTGAATTAATACGACAAAGTGATCAAACCATCAGACAGAGCCTGGGCCATCATGTCAATGCTGACAAATGGCAGATGATTGAAGATGGATGAAAACATCTATTCTGGGTGCCCTGTGACTCATCCCCTTTGTCCCCAGGCATCACTATGCCAGCCCCTGCCCTCAAGATGCTTCCAGTCTAGTGAAAAGGATCAATAAACAATAAACTCTCACTGCAGTTCCATCCTAGGTACAGATCTCAAATAATTGAAAGCAGGGACTCAAATACTTGTAGACAAATGCTCGCAGCAGCACTATTTACAATGGCCAAAACATGGAAGCAACCCAAGTGTCCATCACTTAAGAAATGAATAAACAAAGTGTGGTATGTCCATATAATGGAATATTATTCACCCACAAAAAAGAAAGAAGTATTGATTCATGTGACAATGTAGATCAACCTCAAAAAACACTATGCTAAGTAAAAGAAGCCAGACATAAAGGGTCATATATCCTTTTCCTGATTCCATTTATATGAAATATCCCAAAGAGGCAAATCTGTAGAGGAAGATTTTTTTTTCATGTCTCTATTATTAAACACAATTACAGGCATACCCATTTTTAGACGGCATTCTAGCCCAGGCAATAAAGCAACACCCCTGAGCAGCAGCTTCTCCGCTCCTTCTGGAATCTCTCCCTGGTTCAGCTCGCCTGCTTCCACTCCTGCCTCCACCATGTCCATCAGGGTGACCCAGAAGTCCTACAGGGTGTCCACCACTGGCCCCGGGGCCTTCAGCAGCCGCTCCTTCACGAGTGGGCCCAGTGCCCACTCGAGCTCCTCGAGCTTCTCCCGCGTGAGCAGCGTTGGCTTCCGCAGTGGCCTGGGTGCAGGCTATGCGGGGGCCAGCGGCATAGGCCCGGGAGGCATCACTGCCGTCACCATCAACCAGAGCCTGCTGAACCCCATTAAGCTGGACATGGACCCCAACATCCAGGCCGTGCGTACCCAGGAGAAGGAGCAGATCAAGACCCTCAACAACAAGTTTGCTTCCTTCATCGACAAGGTGCGGTTCCTGGAGCAGCAGAACAAGATGCTGGAGACCAAGTGGAGCCTCCTGCAGCAGCAGAAAACGGCCCGGAGCAACATGGACAACATGTTTGAGAGCTACATCAACAACCTGAGGCGGCAGCTGGAGACTCTGGGCCAGGAGAAGCTGAAGCTGGAGGCGGAGCTTGGCAACATGCAGGGGCTGGTGGAGGACTTCAAAAACAAGTATGAGGAAGAGATCAATAAGCGTACAGAGATGGAGAATGAATTTGTCCTCATCAAGAAGGATGTGGATGAAGCTTACATGAACAAGGTAGAGCTGGAGTCTCGCCTGGAAGGACTGACTGATGAGATCAACTTCCTCAGGCAGCTGTATGAAGAGGAGATCCAGGAGCTGCAGTCCCAGATCTCTGACACCTCTGTGGTGCTGTCCATGGACAACAGCCGCTCCTTGGACATGGACAGCATCATCGCTGAGGTCAAGGCGCAGTACGAGGAGATCGCCAACCGCAGCCGGGCTGAGGCGGAGAGCGTATACCAGATCAAGTATGAGGAGCTGCAGAAGCTGGCTGGGAAGCACGGGGATGACCTGCGGCGTACGAAAACTGAGATCTCCGAGATGAACCGGAACATCAGCCGGCTCCAGGCCGAGATTGAGGGCCTCAAAGGCCAGAGGGCTTCCCTGGAGGCCGCCATTATAGATGCTGAGCATCGCGGGGAGCAGGCACTCAAGGATGCTCGTGCCAAGCAGCAGCAGCTGGAGGAAGCCCTGCAGAAGGCCAAGCAGGACATGGCACGGCAGCTGCGTGACTACCAGGAGCTGATGAACGTCAAACTGGCCCTGAACATCGAGATCGCCACCTACCGCAAGCTACTGGAGGGCGAGGAGAGCCGGCTGGAGTCTGGGATGCAGAACATGAGTATCCACACGAAGACCACCAGCGGCTATGCAGGTGGTCTGAGCTCTGCCTATGGGGGCCTCACAAGCCCCGGCCTCAGCTATGGCCTGGGCTCCAGCTTTGGCTCTGGCGCGGGCTCCACCTTCAGCCGCACCAGCTCCACCAAGGCCGTGGTTGTGAAGAAGATTGAGACCCGC